GGTGTCACGTAATTGAGTGGAGGAGAATGTCACGGACAAAAAGTCACACATGAGTTGGGTGTAGGGCCGAAAAATAGTATTTAAATCCTGGGCTGCACACCACCCCAAAGAACTCTTTTGAGAGGTGACACGTCGGATATGAACTCAGTCCCAAGCTTTCTTTTTAGTTTATTTCATTGTTCCACATGTAAGAAATGGGGCAAAGAAGCATAAAGTATTGCAGTAGATATGTTATTTTGTCGCTAATCCTGATTAATGAGAGAAAAAAAAATGGTTAAAATAATAAAATATTTGTAAGCTTGGAACAAGATTAGTAAAGCAATCTTATTTCCTCCTAATAATATTGGAACCTAACACACAATAAAAAATTAGAATTATTTTAAAGGGATGACTTTGACAGATGCCTTTCACGCCAAGTGCACATACACATACATATGGTGACAAAGTAGAAGACGACATTTGCCAAAACAAACTTTTTAGGTGTCAACAATGGAGCAACTCTGTCATCTATTTCAAATATTGACATTTTATATCGAAGACTAGGAGGGCCTAATGGGAGACTAGTGAACTGCAAGCTCAATATGAGAAGAAAGAAAAAAGAAAAAAGAAGGAACATCTAATAGTAACAAAAGAAAAAACCGCAATGGTCAGTACCTGCATTGCACATTGTTGCTGAGACGTCGAGCACTTTGCGCTGGGTTAACCCGTGGGAGGTTTGTCCAGGTGTTCTTAGAGATGAATTGAGGTCTAGATGCCAACAACTCGATATCAAGGAAAGCCGAAAACCCAATGTCAATGTTTAGAAGTTAGGATGACACGCACTATGAATTCATTGTCATCACATTCGAGTTGATCAATGTAGACTGCCACATGAATTTGATGAAAACATATACACGAATTTATTTATATGACATGATCATTTGTTCTCAGGACCCAGAAGCTTACAAAGGGCCAATAGCTCAAATTGCATGAGAACTAACCTGACACATGATTTTAAGTTTGGCAACTATGGTCTTTGCATTGTAGATTGTACAATATTAATTTTGTGGCATCTACGTGGCGCTCTTTACTGGCCACAAATGTTTGAAGTACTTTTTGACTTTTAGAAAAGAATGATCCCACCCAAAAAGGAAACTAAAATAATTACAGAATGTAATGAGCCAAGTGATACAATTTGCAAAAAAAAAAAAAAACAAATGTCAAGAAAATAAGATGCAAGAAAGAACAATCTCACAAATTAAGTGAGGCTGCATCCATATCCGCTCACCGTGCAACGGGTATAGATAATTCGACGAAGCCAATGTGTATCCCTCGTATCCTCACCCTATAGGATTCGTCGAATCACAATTGCTTCTCCTTCATCTGGAGACCGATGGTACACCTTAACCTGTTCCATAGCATTCTCCTCATCACTAACCTCTTCCATGGAGCCCTAGTAGATAAAAGATATGACACATCTCATCGGGCAGCTGGAGGTAATATGCCAAAATCCGTAGCATTTGAAACATTTTCTGGCGAGAACTATAGCAGACATGCTTCTCTTCTCACTCAGTGGGGGAGATTTTCTCCTTATCCGAATCAACTTTTTAACCTCCCTGTGATGTGCTTCTACTGGTGTCTCCAACTGTGAGTGGTTGCCCGACTGGTGGTGATTGTATGTTATGTTTCCACTATCTTTCTACTTTCATTGCTAACATTTGGACATCTCCCAATGACAAATAAGGTTGCAGCTGCATCACGTTGCTAATAGCGGGCTTCAAGCCCGACATGCTTCTCTGTCTTGACCAAAATCATACCTCATCTACAACTGATCAAACTATGTTGTGAACTCTTTTACTGAAAGATCCTTCTACTATAGGTGGTGGAGCCTCAAAAACATATCCTGATGGTAATGGGGTGGGAGGTATTTCATCTGCATCGATTTCTTAAACCTATCCCATCTGATAATCTTATCGATGTCTTCACTTTTTATGTTTGTGTAAGTTCTACCACCATAAAGATACACTCTTCTTCAAGTTGATAACGACTAATTTGACCAACTAGTCCCCCAACACATCCTTATGCTCGAAGATACGTTCAACAGATTGTAGCCAATCAATAAAGTATTTTTTATCCATACCTCCATCAAACTCTGGTAGGTTCACTTTGATGTTGAAGTCTCTATGCCCTCTAAATGATATCTCCTCGTTGAAATTCTCTCTATGGGGAATTAGATACTCCTCTCTAGGCCTCCTTTAGTACTAGTTTCCAAAACGTCGTGACATGTCTTCTTCATCGCTGAGATTCTACCTATGAAAATGATTCATATCCTCCTCCAAAACGTCGTGACATGTCTCTCTTCAGATCTCGGTCGAGGATAACATCTCCCTGGGTTATCTCATAAATCTCTACAAGCCTCTGTTGATAACATCGCCATATATTTTTCTAAGTGAGCTTGGGCATACATCTTCTTGGTGGCATGGGTAGTGTTTGGGATTTGTGTAAGTGGAAAGGTTATTTCGCGTTACAAAGAAAAATTCTTTTGTTATGGCGGATACTAAGAAACTCTAATAAGACTAAAGTTAGGCTAACTCTGACACCAAATGATATCAGAACTAATTCAAACCACAAAAACAATATGCAAATGTTATTCAACAAATGGATTTGGGTTACAACAAAGCTTAAAACGAAAATACAACACAACAACAACAACCTCTAGCGAGGGCCGAACAAGAAGATCTGAGGAATCGGCGGGAAGTGTTGGTGGTTATACAGTAGGTTAGGAAGGGGATTTAGTGGGCAGTTTGAGGGCTAGAATAGGGGCGGCAAGGAAGGTTGCCGGTAAGGGATAATTGGAAGTAGGGTGATGGTTAGATAGGTAGATAATAAGAACTACTGCATGTAAAGAGGCGTCAAATGTTGGTTGGCAATTGGATGGGTTGGAAAGCGAGCACCACTGTAAGGAAAGGGGGCAGTAGGCCAATAAGAAGGAGTAGGGGTGGCCGACGGCTAAGGGAGGGGAAGGAGAAGGAATAGGGAGGAGAATATGAGAGGATACATGACCAAAGGAAAATATGTTGAGATTTTCATACCTATTTTATATTGATTTTGATGATATTACACTTTAAAGAAGAGTATTTTGATGTTTTGTTGCATGTATGATGAATTATGGTCATTGGAGCAAAAAGATGCAAAAACGGTGCAATTTGGAGCAAAAACGAGCAAGAAATGATATTTTGCCCTGTCACCTTTCGATAAGTCTTTGGATGCTTAATATCTTTTACACTTTTTGCATATTTTTGAATGAGATTACACTTTAAAAGAATGTTATTTTCATGCTTATTTTATAGGGCTATCTGTTAGGAACGCAACGCAACTGAAATTGGGCGAAACAGAGCTAAAATGAAGCCAAAAGGAGCTAAACGGTGGAGCTGCGCAGTCTGCCCGCCGACGGCGCCAAAACGGCACCGACCCCAAACCGGCCCCGACGGCGAGATTTACCTGAGAAGACCAAAAAATGACAGAAAAGCTTGCCGACAGCGCCTTCGAGCCCGCCGACAGCGCCCAGAACGACTATGGATTGACTTTTGGCGGGTATGGGCTGAAATTCAATGTATTTGGACGCTTTTTGGAAGGGTGCTTGTGGCAACTCTTCAAACTTCGTCCCTATACTTTAAAAGAACGAATTTAGGTTAGAAAAAGAGGGATTTGTGTGAGAGGAATGTTAGGAAAAGTGTGGAGAAAGTTTAAGTTTCTTAGAATAGGAGTAGAAATGTAGATTTCTACCCTTTTGGAGAGATTGGAGAGGGGATTATGAGAGAATTTGTAAGGAGATGTTCTAGTATTTCATGGATCGGCGGGGGGGCTTTTGGGGATCTTTCTTTCAAAGGGAAAAAATTAAGTATTGTGTTCTTCATTATCTTATGGTTTTGTAAACACTTATCTAGTGGATTTGCTTTGATGAAATGAAGTTTTTCATTGTGTTTTCTTCGTGTGCTTTGTGATGGGCTTCTCTTACTCTCTCTTCTTGTTTGGAAATAATGGCATGAGAAGATTATGCCGTTATTTTTATTTTACTTATCTTTTATAATGAGTAGAATTCATGTTTAGGATTTTGTGATGCATGTTAGAAGCGGATTTAATTATCAATGTGATGGTTTTTACTTGCACTTTATTTACATTACAATAAAGGTCTGTTGTAGTGTTAAAAGTTCGTTGTAATTGCATTAAGACCCGAGAGGGCTGTGTAATTCTCAACAAAGTAGAACCACATTCAGATTCCATGGATGGTTAAGTTCATGGGAGTTGAATGCAAATAAATAGGGAAATATACTTTGATGGGCGTAGAATACGGATTCAGTAAACAAGCATAGGATTAGTCAATGTTCTTTATGCCTGGACCAAAGGGTAAAGAATAAGATTGCTTCTATTTGGCACATACAATATTTAATGCATCTCATTCTTTATATTATCTAATTCATTACATAAGAATAATAGTTTGTAATATCTCAAAATTTTCCAAACCAATTCATCCAAAAAGGGTTATCTTTAGAATTAATATTTGCATTTAGTTATAGTTACTATCTTTACATTTAACACTTGCATTTAGGAGTAGTTGCTAGATAAAACATCATTTTAATCGACATTCCAAACTAAGGACTAATTTTAGTAGACTAGGATTTGACTAAGGACCTCTTACCTCGCTTCCTTGTGGGATCGATAAACGGGACTCCACTAGAGCCCTGTATTACTTGAGCGATACGTATACTTGCGTTTGAAATTGTGACTTTACAAAATCATTATAAATATATAAATCTGGGTTAATAAATTTAAGCATATATAAAGTCGCTGTCAATACAACACTACCTCGAAGCAGGATACAGTCGAAGCACCACCGGTCTTCGGATACAGCCCTAGCAAGAGAGAAGGAGACTCCAAGGAGAAGCTGAAACAACAATCAAAACAAAACATAACCCTAATTCTCTCAAATAGTAAATACAAGGACTTGAAACAGGTGGAAAACGTAAAAGAAAAGGGGAAAGGGGCTGGCGACAGTTTAACTCCTTCTAATTGTAGCTCGATCCAGCAGGGAGCTAGACCCGCAATCTCTAGGTCGGTTTTGTCGATCCATCCGCTAGCTGGCCAAACCGGCTAGCCTGCTCAGCCCCACATTACCTGGTAAAACTTTTAGAACATAATTTTTCAAAAAAAGAAAATGCATAATATCATAATATATTGTTTCTCACACTAGAAGAGCACAAAATGTAGTTCATATGTGAGGAAAAGCATAATATATCTATTTATACCACTATTATACCGACATTATACCACTATTTTTTAAAAATAAGGTAAAACTTTTAGAATAAAAATTTTCAGACTAATACGGTGCATGATATCATAATCTATTGTTTCTCACATCAAAAGGGGTAAAAGATGTGGTTCATTTTTAGAAAAAAATATAATATATCCATCTATACCACCACTATACCTCCACTTTTTTTTTTTAAATATGGAAAAACTTTTAGAACAAAAATTTTCAAATTAATAAGATACATAATATCATTATCTATTATTTCTCACAACAGAGGAACAAAAGATAAGATTCAAGTGTGAAAAAAAACACTATATCATTCTATACAACTTTTAAACAATTTTTCTAAAACATGATAAAACTTTTAGAACAAAAATTTTCAAACAAAAAAGGAACTATGCACATTTACATATAAAGTTTTTATTATATGTAATACTAGAAAGCTATTTTAATTCCCTTCCTTGAATACACCCATAATTGACAACTCATAAGTTTTCTCCTTCAATTTTTTATGCTTATCTGTCAAATTATCTTTCCAGATTATATTTGCATATCTGATATAGCTTATGAGTAAGAAACCAACATGAACTTCAAATAAATTAAACCATGTAATCAATGTCATGAAAAGCTTTTCTTAGCTTGAATACTCTGAAGTGGGACAATGGGTCCAAATGGAAATATTATCCTTGAATTGTAGCAGTAGTTGTGGAAGACACCAGCTTTCTAAAAGCCTTAGGTAACAACAAGGCACCAAGTCCCTCACGGCTAACCAATCATTCCCATCCACTCACCATTACCGCAAGCAAACAGATTATAGTCAGCGAGGTAGCTTGAGCAGGCTGAGTTGTGGGGGTTCTAACAATCCATATCTTTAAATAGTTACAAAATCCAAAGCAAGGTACTGTCATATGATAAGATAAGCAAATCATCTGGAGTTAGAAGGAATAACCAACATTCCCGACGACTAAAACTATGCATGCATGATAAAAAGAATACACATTACACCATGATCCTATTAATGCGGGGACTCGAGAAGTTGATGCTTACAACCATACCCTGCATTTTAAAATTGCTATTTCCAAAAGGCTCAAATCAATAATTTTATATATATCGCCATGATGGCAAGCCTCTTTTACTAAGTATGGATTCCTTGCTTTTTTATTGAATGGTCTCAAGGCCAAAATGATGTCAACCTTCCCATCACTCCTAGAACACCCTCGAAGATGCCCATTCAGTATGACAGCTCATCATCATCATTATTGTATTTTATTTTTTCTATGTTTAAAGTGTGAATATGCACATCATGAAGTTTGCAGTTGCGTGAGGAAATACATATGGTAATTAAAAGAGCAACATACCTTGACAGTTAACAGAATGCTAGTGTCAAAAACTTGTTGACCAGATGCAATATGAAGCCCCTCAATATAACCAGCACGAGGAGACTTGACAATATGCTGAAACAACCAACAACAAGATTATTTTATGTAGAATAAGTTCATAAAGAAGACGCTCAGGAATATGAAACTAAGTTCCATCCCACCTCCAGTTTCATGGCCTCAAGAACTAGAACAGGCCGTCCTTCTTCAACCTTTGCCCCATTGTCTAGCAAAACCTTGACCACTAACCCAGCCATTGGTGCCAAAACACTCCCTTTAGGCTGTGAAGCCGTCTGAAAACTAGTTTTATGATCATTCGCGTCATTATAAGAATGATCAAGACTCACTGGCTCTCGGTAATGATGGTGATGTCGTCTGTGCCATATATGTACTTGTTGGCTATTATCCTGATGGAAAAGGAGAATTGCCTCTCGCTCTAATATTATGATGATTTTTTTGTGCAGAATATATCAAACTGAATTGCTAGAATTAAGATATAAAGAACGTACTGCTCTGAGAACTGACTTTAAGGTATCTTGCCAAAGTAATATGGTTGCTCAGTCCATCAGTTTCAACAATGAACTTGCACTCACCCAAATGAACGACTTTGATGTCTATGACAGGGGAATCACCACCTTCAAACTGTCAGTGATATAGCTTTGAGATTAAGAAATTCAGGATCTGTATAAAGCACTCATATATAAATAGGTGAAAAGAGGCATAAAAGTATGAGATCTCAAAATTTGATTTAAGGGTGATAAAAAGAGTAGACGAATAGGAATGAAATAAAGGCATATAGGCACAAGTTACACGGGAAAGAAGGCTTAAATGCATAAATTATGATCATATAAGTTCACATCAAAGATGTAAGTTCACATCAAAGATGATTGGATTACTATGAGTATTGATCTGCTAACACTGCTTTTTAACTGTATCAGTATAAATTCAAGCGCATATTTAGTACCTCAACTAAATTTCTTCCTTTCGATACATAGTTGAGGACCAGTTTCAAGGGTTCTAGGCATTTTCCATCAAGTTCATTCTCTCACTCAAGTTCTATCAAACTTTTGGCAGGGTGATGCATTCAAAAAGGTGGATTAGAATACCACAATGAAAATAATTTGTCCCCACCTGCAAATGTTAATTTACTTCAGATTCTAACACGGCACTAGCTGAAAAAGACTAGAAAATAAGGTTGACAAAAATATAGCCAGCCAGGAAACTTTTCCTTGTAGGTATTATGGTCCTTTTCACAGATGCATGCTGCAAAAATGCTGCACCAAGTTTGGAGGAAGCAGATGTCCCAGCTGCTATATCAACTCCTGAGTCAATAAAAAGATCCTCTTTGAAATGCTCAATGAAATGTTTTTCAACTAAGCCCTTCTCCAAGCCCAATGGTTTGCGAGTTTGTACAGAAAACCTATATTAGTCGGCAAACCTGCAACCTACATTCATACAAGAGCAAATGCAATGTAAATATTACGGGCTTCCCAAGACAAACCATAGAAAAGAGGCAACAGGGCAACTGCAACTCCAAAGTCTACCATTGGATAAGATTGTCCAGAATCAGCAAATCAGAAATCCAAATATGTAGTTTACGTCCCTATCAAATGATTTGAGCTAGTATTAAAGGAGGCTTGCATTGAAAGGTTAAAAAAAAAAAGTTAGAAGTTTTATTAAGTATAAAAATGAATAAGATCTACATAAGATCTACATATAACTAAAAAGGAAATAAGGTTACAATTAATATTGTGCCAGGATTACATGTATAATAAGAAATTCATGCACTCTAAACCCGTGGAAGAAGTGTAACTAAATATTTTGTTTTCAGCACTACATAACAAACTCAAAATTAAGACAAACCTGAAAGTTTAGCAAGCAGTCCTTCAGTTTGACTAACGCAGCAAGTCGATTTTCTCCCCACACTACAAGCTTACCTATCATAGGGTCGTAGTTCATGCTAACCGTGTCTCCCTCCTTCACTCCTGTTTCAACTCGCACTAGTTTCGATATGTATATAGAATGCAGCAATTTGGGTACATAAATTTATAGCTTAATTCATAATCCACGACGTAAGAGCATTACCTGTTGCAGAAATGGAGACTGGATGGTAATGGAGGAGTGAACCCGTTGCAGGGAGGAAGCCCCTATAAATGTTTTCTGCATATATTCTAGCATCAAAGGCATTCCCTATCGCCAAAATAATAAAACATATCAAGATAAATTACATGCTAAAAAAAAGCACAAACAAACTTGACCTGCACGAGTTACATTCATTGAAAATACTTGAGAAAATTATTTTAACAGAAGAAAGCTGAAGCAGCTAGAACATGCCACAAGTAAAACAAATAACAGAGAATGTACAACGTCAAACTCAGAAAATAGCAAATCAACTGAAACATAAGAAACATTTTTCTCACTATTTCTATATGTATTTTGTGGGATAAATCTGCTACAAAAATATTTTGTTTTAAGAAATGCATGCAAAAATATCATTCGACTGTTGTAGCCAGTGAATGAATTTATCTGGACACAAATATGGCAAGTCAATCTTCACTCCAAATCATGTCATCTCCTCTGATATTCAACTTAAAACTGTCTGGGTAATGATTCTTCATCATTTAAAATTTCTTGATATAAGGGATTCACCTCATCCTCTCGATACGGTAAGTCGCCATTGTAGTTATGGGTAATCTCTCAGAGTTGTCTCCTCTCAACAACGGTAAGTTTTATTTCAATTGGAGAATCTCCCTTTACATGTCTTCCATCATAAGCTATTAGACACCCTTTCACAAGTGTCCCTTAGATAGAATTGTGTCATTTTCTCTCAACAAAGGTTTCAGAAGTTGTAGCATTGTGGATCAAAGATTGGTAAAAGGCCTAGATTTTAGTAGTAGATGTTGAGATAAATTTTTGTTGGAGGTAGGAATGTTATTTTTTGAAAATTTAGGGTTAGGACAAAGAATTGCAGTAAGAATGGCTAGGGCATTGAGTTGGTGGAAGATTTACATTATTTGGATTTTTGGTTTAAACCCAAGAAAGACAAATCCCTAAAAATATAGGATTTGTCAGACTCTAATATCAAATGACACCAAATTGGGGCAACTAGTCGACGTGAGAATTTTATAAAATGGGTTAGAAGGGTTGTAGGATGAGTAATGGAAGTGAAAACGAGCAAATCAAATGTCTGAACAGCTGTTTTGTGACTATCCGACCAAAAAATAGCATGGAGAAACAACGAAAGAAAGACAACACAGAGGTTCCGCCACATGTTTTCTTCAAGATACAGAGTCACTGCTTGAAAAAAAAATTTAGGCTACAACTCTCCAAATATGAGAAAACGGAAAGAGAAGTCTCCAAATAATATAAACGAAGCAAAAATCTGTCCAATGAGTCCAAAACAAAATCAATATACAGTCTCAAAGCAAAGTAACGTCAATACTAATTAAAAAAATATTAAATAGGGGTCCATAGTCCGACAGTAGTCAAACAAATAGGAAAAATCGAGCCATTGAGAACATCACAAGATAGAGCCATTCATTCCAATCCACAATCGTAGATATCGTGAAACGCAATAACGTGGTAGCTCCAACATCATCCAACCAGCATTCAATCAAGGTCAAAACTAATAGAAGTATCTTTATATGTCTCAAATACCACTTTTTATAAAAACAAGTCCTTTCAAATTTACCAAAAAAAAAAATTAGATGACTCATCCAGCTTATTTTACTTTCATTTATTTTAACTCGAACATGAAAGCCAGAAAAAAATTTTTAGTTACAACCATAGCTTAGCCTCATGCACTTGGATAAAATCCTATGAACAGAAGATAGGGATTTTGTAAGAATTACAATTAGAGTCAAATGATGAATGACAATAAAGATGCACTACAATGCCATAGGATTACAAATAAACAGTGTGCACGAGATCAAAATTAGGATTATAATTGTGAGGAAAGGAATAGCGAGCACAAAATGAGACATAAAGATCATGAAAGTGATGTGCAATCACATAAGTTGTCCCATAATTCTATAAACTTGGGAAACTACTTTATAGCTTATGATAAGGTATGATATCCTTTTGTTAGGATTTTGAATCAACAAATTTATAAGATAAGCACAAAAATCAAAGTTGGTGGACTAAAAATAAAAAAAAATTATATCCTTGCATATTAAATAATAAATAAAGTTTAAAACCTTGTTAAAAAATTTGTTAGTTTTAAGAACTTCAACTCAAAATTTTATTTGAAATCACCTTCCCTAAACTGCTAAATAATGAGGAAATATATGCAATCACAGTTGTTTCGTGTCCTTGAAATGTGTACTTGAGAGTAAGGAGCTCAATTGGTGAGTTTTTAATAGGTGCGAAAAAGCTTTGGTTGTGTTACGAAAAGAATTCTCTAGAAATGTTGCGCAAACACTTGGAAATGAGTAATTCAAGAAAAGACAAAGTGATAAACTATAAAAAAAATAAAAAATAAAAGACTTTTCATTGGCATAGATAATTATCTGAGCACAATGCAAGCATGATAAAGCCAAAAATGATGAAATGATTATAAATATTTCAAGGAATGTACATATTCGAGGAATATTTAAATCTACTTTTATTCTCTCTCAAGAAATTCTTGCTTTTGCATGACTTAGAAGAAGATTTGAGTTTTTTTGTGAGATTGGGTGCATTTGATTTTGGGCAAAGCATGTTTTCTAAAGCCATTTTTATTTTAACATGTGTTGCTTCTCTAAAATAGATTGGATCATTTCTCCTCTACTATAGAGGATAGATAAAAACCGAGATTTGTCCTTGAATCACGTCGAAGAAATAGGGCATAAGAGGAGGGGAGAGTATGCAATAGATAAGAGAGAAGGAGTGGAAGAAGTGGTCTTAATTCTCCTAATATTTATCCTTCGGTGGAGGAAGAAGTCCACTTTTACATTCATTCTCCTCTGTTTATATAGAAACATATTATTATAAAATTTACAATAGTAATGATTACACTTAAATGTCTAGGTATTTCTGGTTATTTTATTTTATCTTATTTTGGGTGGACATAAAATATGCTCTGTTGCTCGTCATCCTCTGTTGACGCAGCATTTCACAATTTATCATCTATGCACTTCGTCTGGTCACATATGTGCTTGGCTGAGTAGCGAGGGCCAAGTGACAAGGATGGAATGACGAGGGCTGAGCGGTGAGGGCAAAGTTCAGTAGGGTCGAGTGACGAGGATTGAGAGAAGAGGGCAGAGTGGGGAGGCTAATACACCTAAAATACATAATATTTTTATACACATTTTTATACTTATTTTTGAGATATTGCGCTTTAATGAAAGATATTTATGTGTTTTTCTTTCAGGTACAAGTAAAAAATGTAAAAAATGCTAAAAGGAGTGAAAAGGGATCAAATTTGGAGCAAAGAAGTGAAAATTGTGTTAAAGTGTTTTGACGCATAAGCGCCAGATCCGACGCTTAAGCTCCGGTTAAACAGAGAAGGCCACGCCTAAGCGTTAAAGGCCCCGCGCTTAAGCGCCAGAGGCAATTATTTGACGGTTTTCTTCATTTGGCTGAATTTTGAAGAGAAATTTGAAGCACCTATTGGCTTAAGAGGGTGGTTATGACCACTAAGAACGAAAATATGTTTAAAATACTTGTGAAAGGAGGCATCCTTTGGAGAATTCATCGAATGTGGACACATTTTGAAGAGTTTCCAAGGCACCTCTTAGAAATTTATAAAAGAAGGAATTTTTTACATTTGAAGTGGGTGCTTGAAGAGGGAGAGAGTGTTGGAGTCCTGAGAAGATCGTGAAGAATCTTGTGGAGAGATTCAAGCACCACAAAAT